CAATCTTCTTGTTAAACTAAATTACACTTAAAGATTTTAATTCTACGATACAGATTACATTTTTTTACATTTAAACGCTGTACATTCTTAATATTAGCAATAAACTTAAAATTAATATCACATGAAAAAGCTAGTTCACTTTAACACATTCGTCGACTATCTTTTATGATTTTTTATATATTAATGTCTCCCTTGGCCTGAGAATTTGTTTGTTCGACTATAGGCACTCACCGGTAACTGTATTTAACAGCCCGATTATTGGCTAAAAGTACACTTTTTATTATAATTATTTTCGAGCTCGTGGATATTTTTCTTTGATTGTCTGTAACACTCCATTATTGGTGTTATCATTTGTATTGGTGTTATCATTCAATTTTAAATTTATTTCTTTATAACAAAAACAGGCATAAAGACTTTATAAATTTTTGTATAAGTTTATGTCAGTCTTTAATAGATAATTAATTACAAGTTTTTATGTAAGTTCTTATGTAATAACTGATACAACAACTTATCTGAGAACTTATAACAGTTCTTATGAATAATTTTTAGATGGAATAGTAAATTTTCGTAAATTTTAGTGCATTTATGTAAAAAGTATAATTTTCCCCCAAATGTAGTACATATTTTTTGTTTACTATCAAGCATAGAGTTTAGTGTTAAATAAGACTTCTTTTAGTACAGTTTATGGATATTTCTTCACAACATAAAAATTCTATAAGTTTATCTATATGAGGTACAAGTATCACGTTTTATATTTTATTTACGTTACTTTAACTTTACTAAAAATATAATTCTTATTTTCGTTGATTAACTTACTAAATGCAAACATGTTCGACTTTTTAGAATAATAATTTTTTTCATCTCTTACTGTAAAAAAAATTTTAATTTATGTTTTTTTTTTCAACTGAGTTTGATTTTAGAACATGTTTTAAGATAATAGTTTTTTGGCAAATCATTTAATAAATACAAAAAATTAATTCAAATATTTTATAACACGATTCTCGTAACCCGTCTGGTGGCTACGTCACTTTAACTCTACAGTAATTTATAAGAATAGTCATAGAACACTAAAAACATACTTTAGTTAACGTTTATAGGAATTTTCTTATACTTTTTTTAACACTATTAGAATCTTTAAAGAATTCTATTCATGCAGACATTCGCATATTTCTTAAACAATTCTTTTACCCAGAAAATCAGCTATTCAAGGTATCACTCAAACTTCCTGCAATCAACACCCTTTACGCATTTTGTAAGTACAGCATTACAAATCGTTATTAAAAAACAAGTATGTATTTCTAACATCGTGATGTCACGCAAATACGCAATAAAAAAAAAAACTATAGTTTTGCTCCATAGTTCTTATAAAATGACCAGGAAATTATGGAGTTTAGTAACATCCCTATGACATTTTGCAAATCTTTTTAGCAGATACGCAAAAATTTTTTTTTTTATCAAGTTCAAAATTCTGATATTCTTGAAAAAAAAAATTACATTTATTTATAATATACATGAAAAGTTTTAAAAAATTTTTTACACACATAAATAATTTTTCTTACATAACATTTTATGTACACTTATAGTATTATAAAAGAATTAAAAAAGTATTCTTTTAGCTTAAAATTTCGCAATTAGCTAACTTATGCTAAATTTAGAATAAATTTTAATTAACGAAAGCATACTCAAGTAAAGGTCAAGTTTTTCGGTACATACTATGAACATATGTAAGTTTTTGTTTTTGAAAGTTGTGTAGTGTGTTAGCTCAATTGGATGCACACTTTGTTTTAGACCTACAGCTCGTGAGTTCGAGACACTCGAGGTTACTTTTTTTTTTTTTTTTTTTTTTGTACTTAGTTACTCGAAGCACTCGCTTGTGTGCCCTATTATTTTTTACTAAGTATTGTACATTTTGAGAGCGTATTCTAATGCCAAGTAATCCAATGTGCTCGTTCAGCCGTGCTTTTGAGTATTTATTGATTAAGTCTTCAACATTTTGAAAGCCTAATTCCAAGTTTTTTGAAGAGCTCGCGTGTGTGCGCTTTTATATATTAAATAAATTTACTTACAATTAATATCATAATAAACAAAATAACTTTCATAATTAACATTAAAATGCATTATAAAGTTATAATATAATATCAGAATTGTTTATAATAAATAATAAGTGGCAACTTAACATGACACAAGCGAGCGCTTCGAGTTACTTGAGACAAGGCTCTCAAAATGTTGAATTCTTGATAAATAAATAAAACCGTAGCTAAGCAGGCGTTTCGGGATAGCGGGGATTACATGCTTAAGGTGTTGAATGTTTACTTAATGAAAAAAACGAGTGGACCAGTAAGCGCATTGGGTTATTCCTTTAAATTACGATTAATAAATATATTTAAGCATGAGCGGACCGAGCGTGTTGGGTTATTGGAATTAGATTTCATGCATGCAAGCTTTCCTATGGTTAATCATTTATGAACATATAAATATTTAAATCTATTTAAATACTAAGTAATGAAAAAAAAAAAAAAAAAAAAAAAAAAAAAAAAAAAAAAAAAAAAAAAAAAAAAAAA